TTTGATTTTATGCTCTGCCCTCCTTATAAGTGCTTTTAAGTATCTTTAAAGATGCCTAGACACATGATGAGTTAGTCTCCATGAAATAAACTAGGGCTTAATGAATCCCCTATGTATTCATCAACTTGCTTTGCTTTTGGGATAGGTTGATCTACAACTTTAACGTGGCTCAGATTTGAATTCATTCCGATTACTATTTTTGGATTCAACTGTATGATTTAAGAATATTGTGAAATAAACCAAACAGTTGGTGGCCATCTGCCTCTGATTATCTGTATAATATCTGATTACACAGGGTTCCCAAACAGTGTTCTATGGTACACCAGGCATTCCAAAGTTGTTGGTAGGCACTTTATGAAGAAGTAAAACAATATTTCTTGTGCTTTAAATTTTATTTCTTTACTATATGTAAGAAAGATACTAAATATATTTAAACCACATTTCTACATAAGTGAAAATAAAAATTTACTGGCCTCCAAATTCAAGGAAGGAATTTAGGTCACAGAAAGGGCCATGCATATGAGCTTTAAATAAGAATGGTGTGACAACTGGCCAAGGAGACTTGCTGAAGTGGCTGCAGCTTAGAGCTGCTCAGTCACTTAGGGAAGTTAGCCAATCCACAATAGCTTCATTCCACTTACTGCATTTCCACACTTAAAATTCTACCGACTCACAATTTTCACTTCAAGTTCACAAATTTCCCCAAAGCAACCACTTCCCAAAACTCTCTGGAAACTCAGCACATTCCTTTGTGTAAGAAAGCATAGCCCACAAGCCCAGCACTCTGTTGCAAAATAAGCAATAACTTCAGCTTCTTGTTTCAGAAATTGAGTAGTAGTGGTCTTTTTCTTCAATATGTCAAACTTAGAGTGAAGATTTGTTGGAGTAAGCAAAGAATTTCTCAGCCCAGGTCCTAGAATTTGGTGTTTTTGAAAGACTGATATCCTGCATTTGAAGCAAGGAGAACTAAATGGAGAGAGAGAGAGAGAGAGAGAGAGAGAGAGAGAGAGAGAGAGAGAGAGAGAGAGAGAGAGAGAGAGAGAGAGAGAAGAACTGCTGCATTAGTTACAGCAGGGGAAAGACACTCATAACAATCCAGGACCCAAGGCTATCCTTTCCCTTTTGTGGTGGTTGAAGAGATAGATGTTTGCTTTGCAATTCTACTTGATCTCTGGAACTTTCTAGTGTTCTGATTCTTGTGGCAAAGGGCCTTCATAGGTGGAGTCTCTGCTTTGATCCCATTCTGTTTCCTTGGAGAAGGATATAATAGTATCAATTTATGGTCTTTACACTGCAAGAGCTATTTCATTAATAGGTAATAACTAGGAAGACATCAAATTAGATTGGCTTTCAGGGCAGGCCAGGGTTTGGCAGTAGGTATTCGGTGGGAATTTGTGGCTGAGAGGCAGCTGTAGCTGACTCAAACTGGGAGATGTCCTCTACCTTTTGTGTGACAGAGGATTAAATGTCACAGGCTACCTGGTAGATAAGGTACAGGATATTGTGAAACTTGGGGCTTCCATATGTTTTCTACCTAGGGATATTTGGGTAGATGGTTAGAATTCTGTTTTAGAATGCTTCCCTTGGCATTGACGTCTTTCATCATTTTATAGAGCATTGATGTCCAGCTCTGCCTTTGGATGGCTAGGAGACCATACTTAATCTAAATTGTATTATCCTGCCAGTACTCAGTCCATTCTAGAATCACCTCTTCTAACAGTATGTTTTTCAGCAAATATTAACAGCATAGACTGATGCCGAATGCCTCCTAAGATTAAGTTTTCGGGACAGTGGAAAGCTGGAGGTGATTATGAAGATTCATTTGGTAAGACAGAAAATAAGTACATGGTAAGGGTAGAAATACTTCTCGAGTCCGCAGTGTGGCTTGTTTGAGGTCAGACCCAGAGGACTGGTGTGTCTCGCCAAGCAACAGTGACCACTTTCCCACCATGAAATAGCCCTGCTGTGTCTTGGTTTCACTATATTTGTTTAATATGGTCTTAGCTACCAGGAGTTGCCAACTTTCAGAATGAGATGGAAAATACTAACCCTTATTAAGAGCCTCTGTGTCTCATCTTTGCATAAAGGCACATGGCATCTGGTCCAGTCATGAAAGCAGCCAGGGAAACCCATTGAGTCACAGACTTGGAATCAACTTGTTAGCTTAGTTCGGCCTTTATCAGACTAATAACAATACATCCTGCAATTCCCTAGATGTGGGTGATTTGTTTCCTGGTTATCCCACAAGTCTATGAAAAAGTTAATAAATAAATAAAGTTAATAATACAAAGTTAATGATAAGGTTAATGATATAGATGCCTATTGTAGGGCTCTTTTTAGTCTTTTTCTCATTACGCAGCAAATGTTTATTCTTTATAACTGGCAAATTCAAGGATAAAAGCACATGTGGGACTAGAAATGTGGCTTAGTGGTAGAGTGCTTGCCTTGCATGCATGAAGCCCTGGGTTTGATTCCTCAGTACCACATAAACAGGAAAAGCCAGAAGTGATGCTGTGGCTCAAGTGGTAGAGTGCTAGCCTTGAGCAAAAGACCCTCAAGGACCATGCTCAGGCCCTGAGTTCAAGCCCCAAGACTGGCAAAAAAAGCACATGTGATTTAAAATATGCTCCCTGCACCAACTTAGGCTTTCGAAGTGACGCATTTGACAATTTGGTACTTATGTACGTGTGTTGACAAAAAATAATGTGTGGTATGGGGGGAGGGGGATCATATCTTACTAACCAGTAAAATATTATGCAGCAATTCTCAATGAGGTAAATTATGTTGACATATGAACACATGTGAACAAAACTGGGTATGATAATATTTCTGTCGACAAGCATGAGGTTACTTCTAGGAAGCATTACAACAGGTTAACTTAATCTTACTTTTTTATATCACACAGCTTTCTACCATGATAATTATTTATCTTGTGTACAAATTACTAAGGAAGCTGGGAACCAGTGGCTTCATGCCTGTAATCCTAGCCATTCTGGAGGCTGAGATTTTAGGATTAAGGCCAGTTTAGGCAGAAAAGTCCACGAGACTATTATCTTCAATTAAGCACTGGAACAGTCAAAAGTAGAGCTGTGGCTTAAGTGGTAGAACACTAGCTTGAGCAAAAAAAGCTCAAGGAAAGTGGTAAGTCCTGAGCTCAAGCCCTAGGATCAGTGCACACACACACACACACACACACACACACCCCTAAATAAGTAAATAAATGATTAAAGACTGTTAGGAAAAACCACAAATATGGAGCTAACAGGACACTACTGAGACTGTAAACGTAGAAGGCAGTTCCTACAGAAATCCTGAAATGGAAGAACACCAAAAAAGAAACTGTGAAATGAAAACAAGGAAGCAAAAAGGAAAGTAGGGATGGTATGTTTTTCAAAACTGTTCTGTTAGTCAACAACAACAAAAATGATTATGTGGTTTCCACAGCCAACTTCATTAGCTCTGTCTCTCCACAAGAGGATAGTCAGCTCTGCTGAGTAGTTCCTGTCAAAGACCCTGTGCCACAAAAGGCAAATAGAAGCACCACAAAGTTCCTCCAAGAAAGGAAGAAGGCCTAGATATGATTAATGTACAATTGTTTCACAGTTTTGTGTTCATGCCTCACTTTTTAAAACACAGAAAGCAGTCATAAACTTAGAAGATGGGCAGGAAAACAACAAACTAGAAGAAGGTAGTGTCACTGAAAAGCCCCACAGGACCAGGTCACAGAATTTTGTGTGTCGATACCATTGTTTTCACGAACTGCTTCCAGCCCTGCTGTCAATGATTTCTGTTATGTCTTGCACAAATCTACCTTCCTCATTTTGACCCCCATCAACCTGGATCATGCTCACTCCTGCCTATTTCCACAGCAGTAGTTGCAAGATTAATCCCTCCATCCTCACGTGCCTGTCCCTTTCCGCCCCTCTCCCCCCAAAGTGGATCAATCTCCTTAAAATCTCCTTTAAAAAGAAGTGGATCTATCTCACCTTAAAATGCTGATAGGACATTCCCCCCAAATCTTAGCGTGGTTCCAAGGCACTGTGTGGTATGACCCTTCTTTACTTTTCCAGTTGCCTTAATACCTGTCACTATGTTAAGTTAAAGATCTTTTTGACATCTTTGCATATGATGTTCCTTTGGATTGAAACTCTGTTCCCTACTCCATAGATCTTAGTTTCTCACAGGTTTTCCAATGTCTTCCTTCCTTAATCTAAACCAGAGCACAAGTTTTATTTTAATATTTATCTATATGGCAACTTTTAAAGGTGATTGTAAAGATCTTCCTTGTGGAAGCTGTGTGTAATGTCTAGAAGGAGGGTTCATAATAGGATGTTCTTTACGTTTGTGATATTTTAAATTTACCATTGCTAACAGCTTTGAAATATTTCCGCTTACAACTAAAAATGAGCTATTGCCTAAACTTCAAGATTGATATTTTTATTTTCCTTTCACCATTGATTTTTTTGTATAGCATCCATACAGCATCTCTTGTGGCACAAAGCAAGCCAAAATACCTTAACTTTTTTGGTTCCTAACAGGGTGTTGTTGGCAAGAAAATGAACTTCAAATTGGTATCAGTTAATTTTACAGAAATGGCAAAAGTTCAGTTGCTCTTTCACTTTTTACTACTGAACTAGGCTTTGAAGGCAGTGTGTGTGTGTGTGTGTGTGTGTGTGTGTGTGTGTGTGTGTGTGTATGCCAGTACTAAACTAAGGTTCTTGCACTCTTGCCTGGCTTTTTTTACTCAAGGCTGGTGCTCTACCACTTGAACCACAGCTCCACTTTTAGAAAGAAGTATTCTAAAAGCCTAACGTTTATTATTTGAGAAAAGATCCTAGAATCAAAAGAACCCTAAGAAATAAAGCATCTACACAAGTTTGCTACTTTGGGTGAGTTACTTTCCCTTCGTTTTATGTTATAATAATTAGTCTAATAAACTACCTTTACATTTCAACTTTTAACCTAAAAAATCCCAAAATCCAGATGAAAATAAAACACAGTTATAAACAACGTATTTTTAATGAAGCAATAACTCAAAATGCGTTTTCTATTCATTTCTAAGTTCATAAAACAGAACTGTTTAAAACAGAGGAATCTACAAAGTTAAGGACAGCAATCACTGTGTCTCCATCGCTGGATTTGATACTATCCTCTTGTCTGTTCACATATTTGTGCAACATGCTATAGTACTGGTACTTGGGATTGAAAGTATACAGTAATGAAATCTGCTGCCAATCTTTTGTGCTTGGGGTATTGTATTTCTTTGGGTGGGAACGCTCAAAGAAACATCTAGTGTTTTCTTTTGCCAGTTCAGTTGCATGCTCCATCGCTTGACTTTTCAAGAACTGCTGCTCCTTTTCCAAATAGATTTTCCAGAATTTCAGCTGCAGAAAACTAACCGGTGACAGGCATCGGGGGATAGATATAAAAATCAGAAGGAAGATAATAACAGCTGCTATCAGGACCCAGCCAAGCACCTTAAGAAAACACAAGAATAGTAATTGAGACATTTTTTGGTCAGAAACTTACAGATCTGACCCCCTTAGAGCAAGAACTTCCTCTACTCACTGTAAGAAGGCACAGTAACTTTCTCTACCCCAAGTTAAAACTGCTATTTTGCCAAGTCAGCTCTGGTTCAAGTGGTGCCAGGGCCACAGGGAGGAGACTGCATGTCACTCCCTGGAGACTCAAAACCTGGAATCTCTATAAATCCAGTGAAAGGAGCATTCCTAAACCTGGAAGCAGTGTGGGTGTGGCCTCAGGGCAGGCCTCTTCACCTAGCTCTATTGCTTTCACGTGGCTTCCACCTCTCCTGAGAATTCGAGGTACAGTGACGCTAAGTAACACCTGGGCTGCAGGAGACTCGTGTGGGCCCCAGGCCACCCTGGCGCGGTTGAGACCCACGCTCTCACGCTCCGGTCTTTATGCACAGTGCACCAGCCACCCAGGGGTGCCTCATCTCCTTTTCATTTACTATTTATTTACTTATGTATTTACTCTGTCATGGGGCTTGAACTCAGGGCCTGAGTGCTTTTTTCCCCTGAGCTCCTGCTCAAGGCTACCGCTCTACCATTTGAGCCCCAGCTCCACTTCTGGTTTTCTGGTGGTTAGCTGGAGATAAGAGTCTCACAGTCCTTCCTGCCTGGGCTGTCTTTGACCCTCGATCCTCAGATTTCAGCCTCCTGAGTAGCTGGGGTTACAGGCGTGAGCCCCTGCCCCGGGCTCCAATTTCTCCTGTGTGGAGAGAAGCCATACATTTCTCCCCGAAGGCACTTCAGTCCGACAGGAGCGCCCCCACCCTCGCCCCGCACCTGCTCCTCCCCTCCGCGCAGCCAGAGCCCGACCTGAGATTGCGCCTTGAGCTGTCTCAGGAGGCTCAGCTTCCCAGCATCGTCCTGGCTGCAGGGTACCAGCGGCAGCTGCTCGGCGCAGGTGGCGTTGAGGTTCGCGCACAGGCGCTGCGCGATCCAGGCGCTGCCGCTGGCGGCGCACTGGTAGAAGGAGCCGCCCAGCAGCGCCACGGCGATCCAGGTGAGCGGCGCGAGCGCAGCGGCCGCGCTGAGCTGCGCGCACACCCGCGCGCAGCGCGCACTGGCGGCGCCCGCGGCCCCGCGGCGCGCGCAGCAGCCGGTCAGCAGGCGCCAGGTGCGCGCGCTCAGCATGTAGCCCAGCAAGAAGAACGCCAGCGCGGGCACCAGCAGGAACACCAGGCCGTAGGGAAGGTTCCACGTGGCGTTGCATGGGCACTGGAACACCACCGCCGAGAAGATTTTCTCCCCGCCCGCCGTGAGCAGGGTCACCAGGCCATAGGTCAGTGTGCTGTGGTGCTTCAGGTACAGGTCCAGCACTGCCTTCAACTTCTCCATGGGGTCGATTACCTGGAAAAGGCCCCCAAGTTCTTGCCTCTTCGCTGCCCTCCTTGTCAGAGAGATTGGGGGGACTTTCCAGTTTGCTCTTAAGTAGCTTTTGAAAAGGGAAGAGGAGGCCTTCTGGGGGCCCTCAGAGCTTTCGATTTCCCATTTTAACTAAATCAGCAGACACCCCCAGCACCCACCCATTTCCAAAGGTCAAGGCCTTGAAAACCTCTCTCCCCCCACTTAAGCAAGGAACTCTGCCAGAAAACAACCAACCCACCAACCACCATCACCACCACCACAAAACCCCACTTATTTTGTTGTCACTTCCTCTTCCTCCAATTTGACAGCACGGCTACTCTTCCTGCCCTTCCTCCCCCAAACTCAATTGCCACTTGAGCAAACTGGGAAGAGTACCCATTGCGGCCAACCCTAATTAATGGGCCAACCTCCATTTACAAAAACGCTGGTCATTTACAGGAAACAGTGGAAGACACAATTTAGTTTTTCTTTTACAAAGCTAAACCACAACCTAGCCAAGAAGAGAGTCAGGTTCTGCTATTGGGTCTTTCCTGGACAGCTCAGTTCATTGGTCTTTCTTCGGCTTGATAGCCACAAGCCATTCGACTGAGTAGCATATTGTACACATCGACTCATCAATGCAACACTCTTTTTATTGTTTTGAACAGGTATGTTCCAATACTCCCAGGATCTATAAGAGTGTCAGATTATTACTCTGTGACCAAGTTGATCAAAAAATGTTTGAGAGTGGTTCACACCTGCAATCTTTTAAAAAAATATAATGTTTTGTTTTTTATGATTTATCACATGCTGACATATCAGTAATCTTTTTTGTATTTTTTATTGTGAAAATACTGTACAAAGGGGTTACAATTACATGGACAAGATAATGAGTACATTTCTTATCAAGCATTGTAGCCTCCTCCTTTGTTTCCCCTTCCCATCCCTTCCCATCCTCCCCCCACCCACCCCCAATCCTCCCCATATCAGTAATCTTAGGTGAGGCTGAGCACCCAAGAATTGTGGTTCAAAGCTAACTTTGGCGGAAGAGTACATGACACTCCATCTCCACAGGATGGCCAACAAAAAATGGGGGTGGAGGTATGGCTCAAGTGGACCAATTCTTTTTGAGCTTATGAAGTCTTGTCAAGCTGGGTGCCCTTGGTTCCCATCTGTAACCCTAGCTACTCAGGAGGCTGAGATATGAGGTTGGAAGCCACCTGGGGTAGGAAAGCCATGAGACTCTTATCTCCAATGAACCACCAAAACACTGAAAGTGGTGCTGTGGGCTTAAGGGGTGGAGTGCTTGGCTTGCACCAAAAAAAAAAAAAAAAAAAAGCTCAAGGACACTTCCCAGGCTCTGAGTTCAAGTCCCATGATGGGCCAAAGTGGGGTTGGGGGGGGGGAGAAGCCTTGCCAAAACATTGCAGTAGTTGCTAATAAATCCTAGGAGCCTCATTTTCTCCCCAGAATCACATTTTCCTGAATTCCCTAAATTTCTTTCCAATTTGATGCAGAAGTTGCTCTGAGCAAACATCACATATGGCTATCCCTCCATGGCCAGTTTCTATACCATCTATCACTGGTTGCCAAATTTACATCACCTATGTTAGGGATTTTATGATGGAAGGATCTGCTTGAAATACCAATATCTAGACAGAAGTAGCCACAAAGTTCCAGCTAACTACAGGGAAAAAGCAAGGGACGCCCGACCCTCTTTTGTGCCTAGATGGTGAAGAAAACTGGACATGGCTAGGCAGGAGTCTCAGCCACATCTTCCATGACCAGCCTCTCTTGACAGTGCCTCACCACTTCCCCTCACCTATGTGGTTTTTTAACTTCTGTTACAGGTGGCAGGTTCATAATTTCACATTTGCTGCTTTACTGTTTATCTCTTCAAGTAGATTATAAATGCTTGAAATCAAAGATCAGTACTGATCCCTTTCTGATCCCACAGGTAACCAAATCGTAGTGCCTAGAATAGTATGGATGTTCAACAAATATTTGTGGTAATAGTAAGTGAGCCACTGAATGAATGAAAAGCAGACTTGGGTTTTTCTCTTTTCCCACTGTAGTCAGAATTATGCCTGTTTTATTCAGCTCCGGCCTTATGTTTTTCTGAACACAGGCCTGTCTGAGCAGGCCACATAGCTCAGACAGAAGGCATCTGAGTTGTCAGCCTCGTGACAAACAGTTTATTCAGAGGGACAGGACAACACCTGGGAGAGCTCAGAGCCCTGGGGATGCTTCCAGCTGAAGAGCCACCTGGACACCTGCTCACACCCACCTTCAGCAAAGGTACCTACCAAGCCACTATGGGGGATGGTAGAGCTTCAGGCATGGGTAGATCAGGAAACCTCTTACTCTTTGGCTCAGCTCAGCTGTGTCTCTCCATTGAAGAACTGCTAGGAATTAGTCTTTAAAAAAGCATGGATGATTGTCCTTTAGGGATGTATATGTATGTATACATAGCACTCAGAGTATGAAGACTCATAGCTGTACTTTTCAAAAACAGCTGGTTTAAAAACTACTAAAAATTAATTTGACAGTCAATATAAGGTCTTGTTAAGAAATCAAAGAACAGGGCTGGGCACCAGTGGCTCATCCTAGCAATTTAGGAGGCTGAGATCTGGGGATTGCAGTCTGAGGTCGGCTCAGGCAGGAAAGTCCACGAGACACTACCCTAAAAATGCCATTAGTGGATCTGTGGCTTGAGTAGTAGAGTGCTAGCCTTGAGCAAAATAACTCAGGGACAGCATCCAGGTCCCAAGTTCAAGCCCCAGTACTGACACCAAAAAAAAAAAAGCAAGGATTAATATTTAAGTGCAATGTTAAATAGTGAAAGCAAACACAAAATGTAGCACAAGTTCATTTATAAAGAGTTCAGAAGTAGTCCAAACTGAATTCTGTTTTTTGCAGGGGTATACATAAGTAGAAAAACACAGGTATTGATTAAGAATCAAGAGAGTGGTTATCATGTTTGGGCCTCAGGGGAGAGTGTGCTTGGGGCTGGGGGCAAGGCAGGGCATTGGAGGTGTATATTGCTATACATGTTCCGTAATTGCAGAAGTGTCTGCATTTCTATACATGCTCCAGAAAAACAGAGGTGTCTGCATATAAGTGTATACACGTTTCAGAATTACAGAAATGTCTATATATTTCTTTTTCCTTTTTTTGTCAGTTGTGAGGTTTGAACTCTGGGCCTGGGCACTGTCCCTCAGCTCTTCAGCTCAAGGCGAGCATCTAGCACTTAAGCCACAGTGCCACTTCCAGTATTCTGGTGGTTTATTGGAGATGAGAGTCTCACAGACTTTCCTTCCCAGGCTGGCTTTGAACTGTGATCCTCAGATCTCAGCCTCCTGGGTAGCTAGGATTACAGGCATGAGCCACGGAACCCAGCTGTATATATTTTTATACATGTTCCAGAATTACAGAGGTGTCTACGTGTATTTCTATACGTGTTCCAGAATTACAGAGGTGTCTGCTTTACAATATTTTACACACCATATTTGAGTATTTTTCCTGACTGTGGTTCATATTTCTCAGTTAAAACAGTAAGGAAAAAAGTAAATAATCCACTACAATATTTTCCAGTTGAAACTCTTGTATTCTCTGTGGGTTAAGGCGACAAGCCATGAGCCTCCATTGGCATGAAAACTTTTCCCAGACTTTCTCCAAACATCTGTGTCCTATTTGAGCCCATGCACCCCACTTTTCTGCACCAGTGACCCCCCACTCTTACATTTTTCAACACCATACCCTCTTGCTTGCCTTTCTTGTTGCTTGAGCAACATTCTCTTCATGTAGCAAACTACCCTGCTTTTTTTTTTTTTTGCTAGTCCTGGTGCTTGAAGTCAGGGCCTGGGTGCTGTCCCTGAGCCTCTTTGTGTTCAAGACCATGTTCAGTCACTTTGAGCCACAGTACCACTTCTGGTTTTCTGGGGGTTACTTAGAGATTAGAGTCTCACAGACTTTCCTGCCTGGGCTGGCTTTGCACCATGATCCTCAGATCTCAAGCCTCCTGAATAGCTAGGATTCCAGGTGTGAGCCATAGGCATCTGGCCTCTGCTTTTAGTTCTCAGTCCCATGTCATCTCTTCATTGACGTCATCTTTCACACTCTCAATCAGAGAGAGCATTGTTTCCTTGCTCTCTCACTATTTAGAAACAGTTCTTCGTGGACTTCTTGCAACCTTTCTTCCCAGAGCTCTGCCTCTGTTACGTCCCTGGAGCTCCAGGGATGCAGGAGCTCATCCCCTCATCATGGCATCCCTCAGCAGTTGGTCGGCTGTCCACAGCGTTCCTCTACACCTGAAGTAGCCCTCACCACATTGTGTTATTTCCTTTACCTACTTAAGCAGCGTCTCAACCTGTGCCATAAATCTTGATGAGAAATGAAAGATCATATAAAGAGTCCAGAACAGTATTAAGAACGTTTTAGTTGCACAGATAAATTTTAAAAAGTAGCCAGGCACTGATGGCCTACACCTGTAATCCTAGCTACTGAGGAAGCTGAGATCTGAAGAGTGTAGTTCAAAGCCACCCAATTAACTTCCAGAAAACCAGAAGTGGCACTGTGGCTCAAAGTTGTAGAGCACTTGTCTTGAGCAAAAGAGCTCAGAGACAGTGCCCAGGTCTTGAGTTCAAGTTCCGTGACTGAGAAAAAAATAAGTAAGAATTTAAAAGTTTTTTTTTCTTCTTTAATTGGTGTCTTAAACATGTGCTAGAGGGAGCCGAAAAAACTTGATTTTGAGACTTTGCTTCTTTGGAGTTGGAGAGCCCTGGCCACTCCATCTGGCTGTGAGAGTTCTTACTGTCTGTGGGCTGGTAATGTACCAATCTTTCCAAGTTTTTTTTTTTCCTATCCAATCCTCACTTTACGTACTGGGAGGTCTCTTAGGTTACCTTCTGTTGCTGCTTATTGGATTAAAATGTGCTCACCTCTGGGGTAATTTCTTGGAGCCTGTGAAGAAAAAGAGAAAGCAATAGTATAACTGTTCTGATATAGAATATTAACAAGTCTCTTTTTGAAATAAGGATCTAGTTCCAGAAAGACAGTGTGGGAGAGGAGAGAAAGAAGAGGAGAAAGAGAGAAGGCAAAGAAAAAGAACCAGGTACAAACTTGGAAAAAGTTTTAAAAAGGACCTCTGGGGTGGATAGTGTCTGTTTATCAAATGCCAGGC